CCCCCCCTCCCCCCACGAAGTCTCTGAAAGGCATAAGGCACGGTAACCCGAAAATGAATGATCAGATCGCAGCACGCACGTTGACTTAGTTTTTCTGACACGGATTCCTCAGACTGCGCCCGGTTTTAGTAGCAGTTACCAGAACGGGAACGCATATGGGAGTCGTCATAAATCGGAGAAGACTGATGGGAAGCGGGCTGCCGATAATGGAGCGCAAAAGTTTGCAGTAAGCCACCCCTTTGATCCACTACTCGTCCAGTATTAAGCAGAGATCAGGTAGTATCACCGAGTCCACTATGCAAATCCACCCTTCAATCATAAAAAAAAGAAAATCGGTATGAAATGCTCTGTTGAAATTGTGGATTGGGGATGGGATAAAGGGGTTTTGAGACCTATGTAATTTGTCAAATTCCCTTCGCGAGTGATTAATAAGAAAAAAAGAACGAAAAGGAAATAAAAGAAAAAAAACTGAATGGTGGCAAATCGTGGTACACCATGGAAAACACGGGGGTCTACAAGTGCATAGGAGTAATATCCCAATTTCTGGAGTATAAAGCGCACCCATGTGAAGGAAATTTTTTCTTTTTCTTTTGGTTTTTTTCTTCTTTTCCTAGTCGCGAATTTTTTTTCTAGCTTTCCTTTTCCATATTTTGGTTGGTTCTTCTTCATGATCAAGGGTGATCAAGATTGAGCAGAAAGTGTTTGAAAACCAGTTAGAACATTAAAACAGAAGGCTGGGAAGTTGTTGCTGTGTTCACGATTTTTTCGCACACCTTGTCGCGTGCGTATCCGCTGCAAAGAGGTGCGCCTTACACCTAAAATAGAGCAAATAAAGCTCATATGGAATGATTACATTTTTTTTCTGAATAGTTCTGTCTTTATCACCCATCTATTTCTATGCCCATTTTTGTTTTTCGTCCATTTCTGTTGTTGGTTGACTCTCCTTCTTATCAGTGACTCAGTTCATACCGTCGCTCCTAAAGACAGTCCCCGCGTTCGAGCAATTTGTGGGCGGACCTCCTTGTACAGGAGTCTGGCCCTTAGTATCTCCCGCTTTCGCGGCTTCAAAGTAAGTGACGAAGGCGCTGTGGCTCTCATAGGTGGCATTTCTGACGCCTTCCCAGTTGCCACGCCCACTGGGACTCAAAGGCTATTTCCTGTCCCTGTCGCTTTTCACACCACGTTTTCCGTTTTTTTCTAGTCTTAATGGTATTGGTACTGAATGACTCGGAGAAACGATAAATGAGCTAGAAGTGGCAGGACATCGCTTTGCTCGCATAAAACGAGCAGGTACGGAGAACTCGCCCAGGGAGGCTGTCAGGTTTCTACTTGTGGTGTTCACCATGTTTTTTTTTCGCTTTTTCTTCCCAGGAGAGTCATTCAGCGACCAAAGGTTTCTAACTGAGCACACCTTCCATAATATACGATCGCGGGAATTTTCTTTAAAACAATAACGTTCGTTCTTAGCGGTAATTATGTAATTTAGCTATTTTCTGAGGCGCCCTTTCATGGTATTTCTTTCAGGTTTGAATTATGGCGGAACCTCCACCTGCCTATGAGGGTGAGTTTTTTTGACTTTCAGGTCCTCTAATCAATCAGTTGGTTGTTGCAGTAGATTCTTCTTCTCCTCATTGTTAGTCCCGCGATGGCGGGGTCCGCTGTTCCTGTTCGACTGCCCCCCCCCCCTTGTTCCGATCCACTGCATCATTCTGCCGTGGCTTTCACTTCAGTGAGGTCCTTCTTGATGGTGTACCCTTCATCTTTTCACTGGAGCTCCGCGCGGTCGCTTGCACTGTCTCTAATGTCCAGCGCTTTCCTGATCGGGTGTCGAACAATTTCCCAGGAATCAAGATTTTCGCAAAATAAAATTGCCGTTTTTTCGTGACGTACGATACCATAGCCAGCCAGTTCGGACTTGAACCCCTCATTTTGGTCATTTTTTCAAGGGTAGGCGGAGATTCTGCAAAATGGGCGGGGCTTCGAATAGTAGACGGAGCCATCTATCACGGCCTCAAAAAGCGAACATTTCGAAGAAAATATTGAGATTCCGCAAAAAGACGCAAAAGTGGGCGTGTTCAGAGGGGCTGGGTTTAGTGTGCCAGTGTATGGATGCATATCATGAGTACATCGTTTTGTGGAGGATGAGTGTGAATAGAATGAGGTCGAAAAAGTATAAAAATCTGAAACATGCGATAAATTCGTTGAAAAGGCGGAGTCGGATCTAGGTCAGTGGGCGGAGTCAGATCTTGTAGGAGTATCTTGTAGGAGTATCTAGTGCGGTTAGTTGTCAACTGACTAGTGTAAGGGGTTTGTCCGATTCGATTCGAAAAGTGTCTAATTTCGTTTGAAAAGTGTCCGATTGAAAAGGAAAATGGTTCATTTAGAAGCCATTGATTTCCCAGAAAAAAAAACCCTCATTCTCTCACGTTGTACACAATATTTTCTGGGAAAGCTGATCGATGCTATCATTGCCTTAGATGGGAGACTGAAGACGAACTGTTTGCCTACCCGCAAAAAAAAGGCAAACATTAAAGCGTTAAGCGGTGATGTATTCATCGCCCACGTCAAAAGCGTTCAGTTTTATCTTTCAATAGAATATTTCATGACGTCATTTTAGCCTTACAAAATCCATACGTACCAACGGAAACGAAACAGCCAGCGACAAATCCTGATTTCCCACCAAATCCAACAATGCCGCCTGGCAACTATGCGATGCCTCCACCAGCGCCACTTCCAGGTACATTTTATCACCAATATTATCAATTAAGCTTATTTCTCTTACATATGTTTGTTGAGTCGTTCTGGTTTCGGGATGTGTAGGCTCTCAACTGCATAACTGAAAGCTTGATATCTTTAAAAAATAATTTTTTGTCAAAGTAGTCGACGAATGCTGATAGTCGAAGCCAATATTCGGCCAGTCGTGACATTATTCGGTTAGTGGGAAAGTTATCGAAATATTTTATTTCAAATTATAAGATACTGTGACAGATTAGGAATTGCTTGAAATTTTATAAAGTAATGTAACTGAAATCTGAAAAATTACCATCTTGTCACTGATACTAGTCTTTTGGGAGGTTATGGTTGCTGAATGCGTTCTTTTTATGTGCTCTTTGCTTGGCAGCCAATCTCAATTCTGAATGAAATTTATTATTTTGAAAAATCGATAGGGCATAGTTCCGACACTGCTTCACAGATAGTGTTCAGACCACGTAGGGAAGCGGATGGTGGATCCCCAGCGGAGGGGAGAAGGTCACATTTGGTCTGAGAAGAAGTGGTTTCGATGGTCGACTTTTCTTCTTTCAAAGACGCAATGAGAGGGGGATCGTATTTGATTGTCGTTGGGAGAGGGGGGGAGGTCGTACTGGCCTTTCAAAGAAAACTGTGGGTGCTGGAAAAAGTTTCCCCGGTCGTAAACTTTTTCGCGGTTCTTCCTGTTTCACGTGTGCTATATACTCTCCCGTCCCCCCGCTCAGCAGCAAAATTTCTAGAAAATAGAAAAAAATTCGGAAAAATTGGTAGGAAGTTGGGATAATCTGGGAATCTGGGAAAGGAGTGTAGGGGTCGTGCCCCCCCCCACTTCTTCCCCATCCTACCAAAAGAATTAGAAGGGTTCGTACTTTCTTAAATTTTTCCCCAGCGGCAGGGCATGCCCTGATAGTATCAAAAGATCGGGCTATCCGGGCTGTGAGTTTCTCACACACCCACCTTACCGCTCAGTTCTTCCGCCTGCGGTTTCTCTCTTCTTCAAATATCTGCGTCATTTTGGAGAAGACATACAGGCCTATTACACTGCGAATGATGGGGTGTGTCAGAGGGTCTTTTGCCGCGCGGCCAGCCCGTTCTCCAACTGTAGTTGAAGCGGGCCGGCGCAACAGTTGGCGGAAAACGGGTGACACGAAGGACATGATACGATGTGTCCCTTGTCGAAAGAAGGAAAGGAAAAGACGGGCTGGTGCCTCGCCAAACGCGTCCCCCCCCGGTGTACCCATCATCTGCACAAAAAAGCTCTGTCGACCCAAGAACGCCGAATAACCTTATTCTGACTGAATTCATGAAACTGCTTCATATGAGCGAGTGTGTGCACTTTCAGAGAGTTTTAAATTGGGATAAATTCTTTTCTCATTCGATTTCGTTTTGGAGTTTCAGTTCTTCGACTTGAAACTAGAAAACCCATATTTTGATTATTTTTCCACCAAGCTAGTAAGAGTCTGATAGCCAATGATATCGAAATTCCTAATTCTCATTCGAATGCAGGTGCTAATGGAACCAAGAAACGAGGTAGTACAGTGGATGAAAAATGCATCGATGTTCTAGTAGTTTCCTAGAACAAAGGGACAAAGGAAGGAACATCATGAAAAAATTTCTCTTAGAGGGGAGTGGAGAGGGGGGGGGACAGGGAGGAGGGGGGGGGGTCCGGAGAGCTTGAACTCACTCTCTTTGACTGCGTCGATTTCTGTTTTTCTCTGCACTCTCTCGCCGCATGGCACTCGGTGGCCATTGCGACTTCACAAAATCCAGCTTTTCACAAATGATAAGTGGCTTGGTATATTTGCGCCTTGCTCATTTGGGGAGCTAAGCAGGAAAGTTTCATAGAAGTTTCATGGTCCGAACAATGGACCATCTTCAAAGTCGTCTGTAGATGAGAATGACGATGGTTCTCTGGGAAAAGCGGTAATGGAGACTTGGTAGTTAATGAAAAATAAATAAGTGGGTAACCGAGCTCAAATTTCCCTGGAGTGTCCAAGACGAAAACGTTTTCTTCGCGGTGGGTGCCCAGTGGCACTCCAGTCAATCAACAGTAGATGCTATTTTCAAGTAAGGCAATCACTCATCCCTTGTTCGATAAACGCCGTATTAACTCGGAGTTATTTTAAATATTTTCTTGAGCGTGAGACGGAATGGCTCACTGGTTTGCTTTCAGCAGGAGCTCCTGGATATGGTCCAGCTCCGGTTCAAACGATCATCGTGGGTTCAGTCGCCTTTAATCAGAACCCTCGTCAATGATGTGTCCACACTGTCATCAGCAGGTGTGTTCTATAGGTTGTTTAGTTCGAGAAATGTTTAACAATTTCGCTTTTTTCAAAGTACGGAGGGGTTGCGGATATTTGTTCAGTCCTTTTATCAGATTCTTCGGTTATTTCTATGCTGCTGTGACGCTTACAAATTGACAGCGTATTTCTTAACTAGTTGACCTGATACCTTGTGAATCCACGTTGAAGCAGTTCAGTTCTGGTGCGAATGTCGTGCACGTAATATTGCTTAGCGTTCCTACTTTCCGGCAGCGACGAACAGCGACCAGCAGCGTTTCAAGCGGCCGTCAGCGACCAGGGCGTCTCTAGAGCTAGGGAACTTTAGGTATCAATTCAGCGACTAGCAGTGTCCACAAGCGTCCGCCAGCGACAAGGAGCGTTTCGAGGGCTAGGGAAGTATAGGTATCGATTCAGCGACTAGCAGCGTCCACAAGCGTCCACCAGCGACCAGGTACGTCTCGAGGGCTAGAAAAGTATAGGTATCGATCTAGCGACCAGCAGCGTCAGGAGTGGAGAGTATGGGGAGATAGGAGGATGGCAGGCAGCTGGTAGAGTATGGGGAGATAGGAGGGCAGCAAACTGCTGGTAGGAGGATAGCAGGCAGCTGGCACAGCGGAGAAGGGAGGGCAGCAGACTGCTGGTAGAGGGTAAGTGAAATAGGAGGATTGCAGACTGCCGGTAGAGAGTGTGGTGTAGTCGGAGGGTGTCTGCTACTCACCTATTCCCCTATATTCTCCACTCTTGAACGCTGCTGGTCGCTGGTGGACGCTGCTGGTCGCTAGATCATTATCAATACTTTCCTATTCGCTGACGCTGACGGACGCTTGAAACGCTGCTGGGCACTGGTGGTCGCTGCCGCAAAGTATGAACGCAGCCTTACAGCGTTGCCATTCTTACCGCAACGTGGAAGTAACATCCTTAGGCTTCTTATGATTTTTTTGTTTTTCAGATTTTGACAAAGACTGAACCGAAAAGTGGTCTCCTTACTTGGTTACTGTGTGGCGGTATGGCACTATTCGGGTGGGTTCAAGTTTCTGAAAATTTTTTTTTATTTTTTTTGCTTTCCTGGTTGCTTGCTCTTTTCTAGCGTCACTAAGGCCAACATATTATTTGTATTCCAGGTGTTGGTTGTGTTGCTGCATTCCCTTCTGTGTTGATGGATGCAGAGTAAGTACTTTCACTTCATTTTTACAGCGATAATATCCTCTTTCTCATCCTCTCTTATTACGTTAGCTTTTTAGCAACAACTCATAATTCCTATACTTGTCCATCTATTGCAGTCAACTTCGCTGCGGATGCTGGGAGTTTCAGGGAAAATGGATTTGGCGTGGCGCCAGCCATTTCTCCACCAGTTGTTGAGGCAAGCGCAACCATTTGTTGAGAACGGGCTGGCGAGGTGCTAGAGCCAAAGCCCCTTTCACGCCCCAACGTGTGCAGCGAAGAAGACTGTATTAAGACGAAAAGCCTGTACTGGATGACCTGACCCGAAGACTTGCCACGCGGCCCGCAAGCTTTCTCTGATTGGTGGCTTGCCATGATCCCCAGTCGCATCTCGCATAAGCAAAAGTTTCAAGGAACGAAGAAGCAGCTTTCGAGTTAGATGTGCCTATTGAGCTTTTTTTCCTTGAGATTATGAAGTTAGTTATGAATTTTATTGTATTTTCAGGATACCGAGCACTATTGTCCAAACTGCCGCAAACTTCTGGGTACATACAGAAGAATATGAACCGATTGAAAGCACTGCTGTATATGTGTTTCTCATATCATATCTATGTATTTCTTTACTTATTTTACACGGTGTTCAACGATTGGGTTTAATCATATGTTCGTAACTGTAACAATTACTATACAACATCAATTGAATAGGCATTATACGGCCAATGCTTTATATTTTGCATTCTGAACATTGTGGTATTTGCCACTGAGGTCCATTATAACTGTGACATTGTTCTCTTATCGAGCCGTTACACATTGCACAATCCACTGTTGACATTGCTCGAAGTCCACGATCTTGGAGAAAAGGAAGAATCATAAAATCACTGACTCTCCAAAAAAAACATGACCGACTAAATCAATACGCTTTGGACCTATTTTGCGGATTTTCTGGCTCTTCTGTTCTGGAACTCTTATTCAGTAGTTCCGTCCATACCCCGCAGTTGGAAAGGCGTGGCTATGTACTTTCTACAAAATGGTGCAGTATAACCCACTGGTGACCATAGTTCGAAGTCCACGATCTTGAACTCACCGGTCCTGCAAGGAAAATCGTAACCGACCAAATTAGTACGTGCTGGACCACTTTTGCGTTTTTCGCTTCTTTTGTTCTGGAATTCTCTCATTCAATTCACGTCCATATCACGGAGTTGGATAGGGCGTGGCTGCGTACTTCATACGGAAACGGTACAGTATAACCCGCTGGTGGCCATTTTCGGATTCAACGACTTTGAAGAAAAAGAGAATCAGAGAGTCACCGAAGCTTAAGCGTGAGCAACCATCGCACTGGACCTCTTTTGCTGAGTTTCTGATTCTTTTATTCTGGGATTCTCTCAGTACTTTCCGCTCATATCCCGAAGTCGGGGAGGGCGCACCTGCGTAGTTTATATGAGAATGGCGCAGTATAATCCGCTGCTTCCGTTGTTTGAAGTCCACGATCTTGAAGTAAAGGGAAAATAACAAAATCACCGATACTCTGAAAAAAGCGTAACACGGACCAAATGTACGTACGCGACCTCTTTTGCGGAGTTTTGCTTTTATTCTAGAATTCCCTCATTCAGTGCTTTCCGTTCATATCGCAGTTGGGGAGGGCGTGGCAGCCTACTTATAGGAAACGGCGCTATACGTTCTCACAGGATCTTTCTATTTGAGACCACTGCAATCGTGTCTTAGGCTGGACAAAGACATGATCACAATTATTTGAGGAAATCCCCCAGAAACGTAATCTCCGCCACTCCGCCATTCAAAAAAACTTCACAACCACCGCCTTTCTCATCTCCAGTATATGAAGGGTGTATCCTCCTTTTTGAAGAGTTTCGTTTCTTCGAGGTTGCCAACAGTAAACAGTACATCAGTGATATTAGCCTTGGCAGTATTTCTGAATAAATTGTTCTCAGTACAATCCAGTTTTTCACTTGTGATTCATACTCAGTACTGAGTCATGCGATCTGTTGCTAGTTCTCGATAAAAACAGTTGAAAGTCGCCAATTGCGTTGTTGAAGGGCTTTCACCTGAAAGCTATTAAAGTCTAGACCTTTAGTCACAATCGCGTGCAAAGTGTTCCAATTTCTCAGAGATCTCTCGGCCTGTTACGGGAATTGAGCCATCTAGCTTGAAAGAACGATGGAGTAGCCAATAAAAATAAAATATTGTGTGGGAAGTGAGGCGCGCAATCGACAAGTGCCAGTTTCGCGGCATAGTATTGTAAGGTAAAAGAGATAGGACGCGAGATTTCTCCAGAAACACCTGCTTTTCCAGTGACTCCGATTCCAGGCTCCTCCCTCAAAGTCTGCTCAGCTAAAGTCCAGCGAAATGGGATGCTTTCGGACGAGTAACGTGAAGTGGATTCCCACTTGTCTCTTGAGGGGTCATAGTGTTCATTGCAAGGAATCAGCCGACTGAATTGTTCCCAAAGCGTATTGTTCTAGCCTTTCGTCCGTACAATTGCTAGAGGTGAAAGGGGTCCTATTATTGGTGTTTCCGACGTTCCCTTTGGCATTACATCTTCAACGACAAGTCACTTTACAACTTCTCTTCCATATCTCAACACTGTTGGAATGATATATGGAGCCACGCTCTCCCTATCTCGGTATACATAATGATTTGAGACAGCTTCAACACTTTGCAGTTCTCGTATGAGCAGTGTAAGTTGATGAATTTGATGATTTATTTACTAGTGTGGAGGTGATGTAGTGGAAGGGCTCGCTTATCACTCGCACGGTGCTGGGTTTGAATCCCTGGTCGATCCCACCAGGCCAGATAGGCTTCCATACTACGAAGACGGTAAATTGATACCAGATCAGTCTGGGAGGAAAAAGGGCTGCGTTTATACTTTGCGACAACGTCTACCAGCGACAACTAGCGTTCCGAGCGTCCTGCAGCGTCAACGACTAGGAATTTATAGATATTGATCTAGCGTCTACCAGCGCGTGCCAGCGTCTCCAGAGGGCTAGGGCATTATGGGTATCGATCTAGCGCCTGCTAGCGTTTGACAGGGTCTGCCAGCGTTAACCAGCCAGGAGCGGAGAAGCGTGTGCAACCGCACCGTACATTGCTAAAGCACAGAATTAGGACCTCCAGTGTACGGTGTAGTGTAGTTGTACGGTGCGGGCACAAGCCGCAACGTCACGACGCCTACCAGCTGTTTGCTGCCCTCCTACTTCCCCATACTCTCTACTCGCTGTTGCTGGTGAACGCTGGTGGACGCTGGTAGACGCTGGCAGACGCTAGATCGATACCTATACTTCCCTAGCCCTCGAGACGCTGGCAGACGCTAAATCTATATCTATACTTTCCTAGTCGCTGACCGGACGCTCGGAACGCTAGTGGTCGCTGGTGGACGCTGGCAGACGCTAGATCGATACCTATACTTCCCTAGCCCTCGAGACGCTGGCAGACGCTAAATCTATATCTATACTTTCCTAGTCGCTGACCGGACGCTCGGAACGCTAGTGGTCGCTGGTGGACGCTGGTAGACGCTGCCGCATGTTGAACGCAGCCTAGGAACGCTGACTTGTACATCGACTGACCCCGCAAGTCATTTCATATGCCGCGTCGCATTCAGTGAACCACCGGCTCCAAATGGAAGTACATTGCGTGCCGTTTCCCAAAAAGGGATCAATCAGCGGCAAAGGCTTTATTTTCGATACTATATGTACTAGTATGCGTCCACTGAGATCGAAAAGGTAACAGCTGTGAGGATGGCAATTAGCAAAACCACATGTGAAAGTGCATACTCTGAGGGCCCAACGACCTTTCATTTCTCTGGATTGTACGGATGTCCTCGAACGTGCCTCTATTTGACACCACATAACCTTTCATTTCGTTCGTGATTGCTGGCAATTATAACACTTTCTGAATGGAAGAATACAACGCCCTTTTTTAATTGCACATCTTCACCATAGTATTACTTTTGAACGACCGAACTAGCGAATTTTGCTGAAGACGCAGGTCCTGCTGGGGGTCAGTAGCCAGGATATGAGCTGGTGATCAGCTTAGTAGGCGAGCTATTTTTGAAGGCAGTTGGCACGATGGCGTCCTACTAGCCTAAAATGCTAGTAGGGCGCTGTATAGTGGGGAAATGGCGAAAGAACGGAGTGAAACGGTCCCTGCGAAGAAAAAGCCTCCGTTCTCAGTGACTTGAAAATCGATTTCGGACGAGTTTCCCGTAGGCATCTTGCCAATCACCGCTACCGAAGATACGGCTGCATATGTGTACCCATATATGCATGCAGCATCACGGCCGCTTCATACCAATCCCTTCGCTTCATAATTTGCTTAGCAAATGAATGAATACGAGCGTCAGGAACGGTCGTCCATTTGTGGGCGGGCGGGCGTGGCGGGCGTTGGGACGTAATGTTGTGGCTTGATAGGGCCCTCATAAGAGCACCTTCCCGCTAAACCGCTATGCAGCGTCATACAATTAGATGCTGTTAGATGTCACGTATCATTCTTGAGGCTGTAAGTATGGAACAGATGTTATCACAGCGAAAGCCTAATGAATTATGGAACCTAATCCAATACATGATTGATTCGACCAAAGAATATCTGTGATTAATAGGAATCGAGGAATGGACCACTTTACAGCGTCTAATAGGCGCAAAGACAGAACAATGTTATGTTAACAAAAGTCACTATAGGCTCTTCAAGAGCCTCTTGTCTTGTTTTTCGCTGGTGTTTCTTTTGTGCGTTGTTTTAATATTATGAGCGGGAGATGCGGGTTCGAGTCCCGTCCCGGTTCCATTTTTGCCCAACGTCGCAGCATTCTTTTGATAATTTTGCTTCGGTATTTGAAGTAAGTATGACCGCGTTTGGCGCCTTCTAAACGCAGTGCTTGCTCGCTACACATATCAGGCTGAGCAGCGATTTCTGGGACACTTTGGAGATTCTGTCCCACAAATTCCTTCAGTGGTCCTGTCAGCTCAGTACTATGGATAATCTAAATCTATGCCACGTACTTGATTTTCTACCAATCTTGCCCGCTGGATGGCTGCTTTTGGTGATGAGGTCTGACATTGGAAACAGTCTCCTCACCATCCAGCAAGGATCTGACTAGTTTAACTATGTATGCGGAACCAAAGGTGAGGAGTGGGTTTATGAGGTCAACTGCCCGCGCAAATGACAATGGCTCACACCGGGAGAGAAGGGATTCAAAGTGCCTCGATCGGAGTCTCAGGTGATCAAGTCGTGTTGCCAGGGAAAGTCGACGGATTCGCGTGCTGGGACCTACATATGCTAGACGGTTCTACTGTCAAACCGTTGGAGCCCAAAAACGGGCCTGAAGGAAGTGCTGCTCAGACATCGGGAGATAGCAGACAGTCATCCTCATCAGGAACACAAGTGGAGCAACCATACCAGAGGAGCGAGCACCTCACCGTGTTGGACAAGTTCTGAGGAAGATGTAGAACAGTCAAGCGCACGTCTCCTCGACGGATTCTGGCAGTTCAAGGACTGAGATCGTTGTTCAGTAACTCCCACAATATCCGTTTATTCCGTCACTCACCAGGGCTAGATAAG